CAGCTTCAACCTGTGAGGAAGAAGAAGTGAAGTTTAGCACATTAGTATAAATGCTTCATCATTCCTGTATGAGATGACAGCGTGAATTTCATGAAGCCTGTCAAGCCTGTCTGGGTCATATTTCACTTCAACACGAAAATAAATTCTTTTTCCAAAGAATCCTAAGGATATACATACATACATATATATATATATATATATATATATATACACACACGTTTATACATATATATATATATATACACGTTTATATATATATATGTGTGTGTTTGTATATATATATATATATATATACAAAATATCTTCATTATATATTGGTTTTATCATAATTTAACTTATTTCTGATTCATTTACAATTTCAGTATTCAGATAAAAATTAAAAACTCAATAGTAAAACATCCAGACACATTCCAGAAATGAGAAACAAGAAAATATTATGCTTAAATAAACATGGGGGAAAAAATGGTCCAAGTATTGCCCTAATGTATATTATATATGGTTAACTATTGTAAAGTATGTATGCATCATTAAAGTATTTGTTAGACTGCTTATTTCAATAATCAAATAACTAATCAAATAATATTGTAATGACAATCATCCTGTTAATGACAAATAACAATAACTGACAAAAAAAACAACAACTAAAAAGTAAAATATCTGGATTCAATAACAAGGCTTCATTTAATTTATGCAAACTGTAATTTACTATTTTTTATTGTAATTTTGATGTGAAATATGAATCTGACATTCACTGAAAGTGAGTAAAACAAAAAGAAAGCCAAAGAAAAGGGTAAGTTTCAGTTTTTAGGTAATTATGATAAGTAAGAGCATTTAATCAAGAGTCAGTTTACTTCCATGATGCACAGTGACAATTTAGAACAGGGAACAAGCAAAACTATTACTTCACAAATGTATTTTTAAAATGATTTGCATAATCAGCTTTGTTGCTTTGTTCTCTCTTCTAAAGTGTTACCAAACCAGAACATTAAAACATAAGGGTACCAGTGGTAACACTTTATAATAAGCCTTATTAATAATATTAAGCTAAACAGATCATTAATTCAAGTCAATTTGTTAGAAATGAAACTTGTGTTTGTATTTTCATACATATTCCTGAATATACATCAACTGCTGATCTGTTAAGCAATACTGAATGTTTGTTAATGACTGGTTATTGCAAGTTATTATAAAGTGTTACCGACCGATCTTACCGCTGACGAATTCACCACAACAGTTCGTGGACGTCGCATTTTCTTCCGTAACTGCATATATGTATATATATATATATATAAAGGTTATATGATGTCCTGTTTTCTGACAGAACAGTGTGTGGTAATTGATACATTACAGAATGCAGTTCTAACCTCAGGTCACATGATCCTGAACTCACCTCTAGAATGCCCTTCTTCTTGCCCTCCCTCTCCTCACTGTCTATATGGCCTGTCAGGATGCAGAAACAGTCTTTGCACACCTTGTTCATCTTATTCCCTTCATATTCCAGAGTGGCTTTGTAGTCTGAACACTTCCAGCAGACCACCTGAATGAAACAGACATTTCAGCACACGAAAAGCGATTTAAAACTTTGAAAAAACTAAACAAAATGTTTTTGCTTTGCTGCCGCTTACGTATCCACAGGCCCGACAGTGATGTCTCCTGCGTGTGATGGCATTAAAGGACTCTTTGCACTTCATGCACATGGTCACCTCATTGTCTCGGATCCAGCGAGGGGCTCTTTTACCCAGCTCTGATATCTTAAGATCCTACACAGAAATATAGACATGATTATAGACAAATCTGGACTACTATGACTCTATACTCCTAAGAATATGTGCATTATATGCATACATAAGTACATATACACTAGACATGACCTTCTGCCTTATACAATAAGACTGAAACATCTAATAACAGTAGCATTATCATTCATAGTACTTCTTTCTAGAATTGAGACATAATACAATGGCTAAATTAATTAATATAAATAATTTAAATGGATTTATTCATTTAAATAATTGAATAAATTTAAATTAATTATTAATTTAAATAATTTAAAAACTAAATAATAGTGTTTTTAATAGCTGAAAAATAAATGTAAAGTTGGCATGAAATTAAAATTTACCTGACAAATTTTCTGTCTTATTCCATTTCACTGTCTTCAATGTTATTCATTTAAATAATATTTAAATATTTAATTGATTTAAATAATTGAATCATTTTAATTTAATTATTAACTTGAACAATTTAAAGGGGTCATATGATGCTTTTTTAAAGATCATTAGTTTGTGTATTTGGTGTAACAGAATATGTTGACATGCTTTAATGTTCAAAAAACACATTATTTTTCAAATACTGTACATTATTGTAGGTCCTCTATGCCCCGCCTCTCTCAAACGCTTCGTTTTCTACAAAGTCCCTCCTTCCGACGAATACTTGTCATTTAATTGTTTTTATTTGTTTTAATTTAAATTAGGGATGCACCGATACCGATACTGGTATCGGTATCGGGCCCGATACTGGTCTCCTGTACTCGTACTCGTACTCGT